TAGTATCGGAGGGCGGCTCCCTCTTCCCGCTTTTTCTCGACATGTTTTACTGTAATTTAGTATAAAAACCCATCATAACTATGGATCGAATTGTCTTGTGAAAAAGTAAGAACCATAGCACAGCCTCCCCCAGTGTCAATTATTTTTCTGGGTGCCCCTTCCAGAAACGTTGTACCATGCATGAGGACTAGATTTTTCACGTCTTCTGTTTTTGTGTGGTTGTTGGGCTGAAGACACGAAAGCCTTTATTCTGAATTTTATTTTGTTTCATGGGGATGCATGGAATAAACTATATTTAACCCAACAAAACTGAGGTGCTCCATATTTTCTGGGATGTGTTCAGCTCTATAAAATCATCTGAAAAGAGAAGGACCCCCCCCCACACACACACTTTCTAGTAGTGTGTTAACTTAAATCTTACAAAATATAATAAAATATATTAATGATTTTTTATAAACACAAAAATAGTCAAATGTTTGGACGAAAAAAGAGAAAAAACTACTATTAATTTGATCACTTCAAATAATTTTTCATTTAAATTTTCCGTATATACAAACTAATGTGTACTTTACAAAACAAGAATGATGTCTGTCATGCAATACATGAATTTTTCAAATTCCAGGATTTTTTTCTAAATAGGGTTGAGCTTATGTCCACTAAAAAAATCACCCAAAACGCAAAAAAAATAGTGCATGTGTGTGCGGGGGGGGGGATGGTAATGGACAATTCTTGTTGATAAGCTGTTTCAGATATTTATATGACTCTTCGACTTATTTACGAGACGTTCACAACTCCTGGAGGGGGGGGGGGTTAAAGGTTTTTTCTAAATTGTTTTACTTTATAAAATTCATTGATGAAAATCCGGGGGGGTCACCCTGGGGTAAATTTTTTGCAAAAGAACTTACGACAAAGACCAAAATTTTATTTTACTCATAACTTTTTATTTTATTTAATTTAAAAATTTTTTTAATCTTTTAACAATAATTCAACAAGATATTTTTATGTTAGCAATTTCAAAGAGGATAATTAATTTTACAAAATTTTAAAATCAACTATTTTTTTTGTCTTAGTCGTTAAGTTCTTTTGTAAAAGGGGCCCCTGGCCTCTAGATAACCCCCAACCACCCTTCTGCCGAAGCTCCCAGTAACACTACAGAAAGGGTTTTTAAAAAAAAATTAGAAAAATATTCAGGATTGTTGGGATTTTTATAGAGTATAATCTGTTAATATATTATTATTTACAAACAGTCTTCAAGAAGAATGAAATTATTTTATTCATCAGCCTTTCTTTATATTTTTGCCTGGTGGGACGCATTCATCATCATCGTCGTCCTTTACACCCTGTGTTGTGTGGGGCAGAAAAACTTCCTCCACTCATGTCTATTCTGGGCCAGCCGCGTCAATGATCCTCAGGTCTCGTGCTTTGCTGGACGCATTGGGGAAATGATTAAATTGTTAAGCAACAAATTAACCTGCCACCCTTATAGCGCCCCCTATCGTTTTAAAAAGGTGTTAACATAATGCAACCTTGCAAATTTAAAAATCTACGAAAGTACAATTTACAATTTCTAAATTTTGACAAATCGTAATTCGAATTACATGAGAGCATCGGCAAAACTTGCATTTACATTTTACACTTGTCAAATTACGCATGGGTAGTTACAACTAACAAATTTTAAAAAAAAAACAATTCAAATTCTAAATTAAGTTTACAAATTCATGTCTACATATGTACATTTTAAGAATTACAGTTTGAATTTTGAACCCGTTGGCTTTCCATATTATAAATGCACTTTTTTATTGTTTATGTACATGTATACGAGTGTATCTACTGATTTGTTGAGTAAATACAGAGATGTTCAATATATTTCCAAACATAAAGCATGCTTATTAACAGTGGCATTTAAGGGGGGACACCCCCCCCCCCCCTTAAAATTGTCAAAGTTGACGTAAATCACAGTTTAGTCTAAAAATGTTAATATGTTATTATATTTAAGATAGTCAACAGAAACTCAGACGTTAAATCATTCAGATCATTTAAATTTGATTATATTGTTGTATGTAGTTACATGTTTATTATTTTAGATGAATTGAAAGAGAAAATAATTATTTTAGAGAAAAATTTATTGAAGGCACATTTTTTTCCAAATCCAGCCTGCTACAAATTTCGTCCACCTTTTTTTTTTGGGATCCATGTGAAACATTTTATTTCTTTTAGGGCATAAAAATATAAACAACAATGAAATTAAATTCAATAAAAAAAAGGTAATAAATGAACAAAGGATTATAACACATAAAAACAATATTATTTTGGAGGTCCAGTGCTAAGAGGAGGAATTTGAGACATTCCGAGCCCGATCTAAATTGTTTTTAAAGTTTCAACTCAAATCCCAAAAAACAAAGTTGTCCTCATAAAATAAGCGCTTTGAATTTTAAAATGATTGTTGCTTTAAGAAAAATCACACCTTATATTACCCCCCCGGGAATTATCAAGGAGACGAAATTTTTATCGTCCGAAAGAAATTTTCTGGAACCTCACTGGATTGGGAAAAATGTATATCGTTTAACTGCACTTTATTAAAATATTTTTGCATGTTTGTTCGATGACTTCAAATACGATTTTTTCCTTGAAATAAAATTTATAGCGAGTGTGCGAAACGCGTCGAACGCAGTTAACGACAACGCCTGGGCGAAAAGAAAATTTGGACTACTGCACATTCATTCCAAAAATTTTTTCCCCTAGTAATTTTGACCCACAATGCATCGCTTCGTACACAAACGCTAAAGCCACGTTCTGGGGAGAATAACGACAAAAGTCAAAAGAAAAAATATAACTGCCTTGATTTAATGAATTTATTGCATAGAAATGGTCATTAAAACGGGTCTTCATAAAATAAGCCTTGTTCAGGCTTCGGTTTGGTAAAGCAACATGCAAGCAACATCATTTGACGTCAAGTTAATGGCAATCCTCGGCTACTCCGCTAGTCCATTTACGTTATGTGCGAGGTACGAGTTATCGAGGAACTCCGAGTGTCAAGTCTTACGCCCCCGAATTTCATTGCGGTTTGACAGTACATCAAATGAATACAGAAGTACTGCACTCAACCTAAAGGGGCACCGTAAACATATTAAATAATCATGATAACCAACTGAACAAAATTGAACTGCTTAAAACGCACATAGAACAAATAGTATATCAAATCTTGCTCTAGAGATAATGGTGAAAGACCAAATAAACACAACATGAAAAATTTTTATTTTTTCATATGAAATACACGTATTCAATTTCTCTTAATTTTTTGTGTTTTCACGCAGGCGGTTTCTTATAAATAGTTTTCGATAGGCCAGAATTTTGAAACTTATTTCCCTTGGGCGCCATACTGGAGGTCCAAAGGCTCATATTCCTTATTGTTCAACCATTTTTTAAAAATTTTTCATTTGCTATTTTGAGGTAGGAATCATTATTTTTCTGAAGTATTATTTAAAAAATATTTAATAAAGATTGTCCACCAAATATTTCTGCTACATCCTCCTTTACTTGGTAAGACAAAAGGGGGGATCATGAGTCGACCTCCAATTTGGCGGCCAAAGGGAAGTAACGCTAAAATCAGGTTTCCAAAAACTTCTTCGGGCCGGGGCCCTTTCTGATATAAGGTTACCTGAAATCTTATGGTATAAGCAGGTCCCCCCGGGCCTTGAAGCAAGGCGGACCAAATGTTCGCAGGGAGTTAAGGCTATGTATGGAGGTTTCTATGCAAAAAATCTAATTAAAACCCATTCCACATTATAACGTCTTATTATGACGTCATGTACGTATTACATAATTTATAAAAAAACAAAATTGCTTTGGCGCAAGGGCATACCATACTTTGTTTTCCAGAATAAGGTATTTAAAAAGAAATAGGGTATTCCTAGGATTTAAGAAATTGCAGCACATATGTCGACACTGGGAAATTTTGTTGCATATAAAGTTTTAAGGGTTTCCACCCTCACTATTTGAATGGTTCAAAGTACAAAAACTGTATTTATTTTCATTTCATATGCTTTAAATTTTCCAATTTTTTAAAAAAAATGTATAGATCATCAATTATTTAAGACTAAACATAAAAAACAGAAGTGTATGTCAACATAAAAAAAAAAACGCACATTTTTTGTAAAAGTATTATGAAAAATATTAAAAAATCATGGTTAAAATGCATAATTCTGATGCTGAATGTACCTAAAAATTTATAATAATACTTTTGAAATGTGAATATCAGGGAAACTATTTTTCATTAGAAGTACAATAAAGCAAATGCCTGATTGAAGAGACCGTAGAAGGAGTTATTGCCCTTGTCAACATTTTTTAAAACTTGAATAATTAATTAAATAAAGAAAATATGCATTGTTAAAATTCTTTTGTTTAACAATATTTATCATTACACCTATTGTAAAGCATTCTTCCAAAGGTATGGTTCTATTAGGTATGGATTTAAACTAATTACAGTTTTTACAAAAAACCCATGACATCATAGGAGGTAAATTCCTTAAGATGAAACAAGGTAAAAATTAGTCCAATGTAAAATTCCTAAATTTTTTATCGATTTAAAAATGCACAGGATTTGTAAATTTTAATATTTTTAGAAATTTTCCAGTAAAATACATGTTTTATTTTAAAATGAAAAGGATATGCCCTTGCGCCGAGTTGTTTTTTTTAAAAGTGTTTTCTTACCTTGAATGGGAAAGAATTAAGACGTCATAACATGACGTCATAATGTGTAATAGCTTTAACATGATGTGGATACTTTTTCTGTAATATGTATGAATATGAAAATCTACCGGGGTATTTGAATTTTCTCCGTGTATAAAATATACAACTTAAGCATTTTCATTAACTAATTTGCATTGAAATGTCCATATTTGGCCTTAATTAACTCACTTGCGTTATGCGGCAGCAGAGGTTTAAATCCTGGGGGGGAAACAACATATGATATCATATGTCCCTATAAAGCCCAAAAAAGGATGGCATTCGTTCATTTGAATTCTTTTGTGACAACACTGGAAAGGCGAGATAGAAACAAGAAAGGTGAGTCTTGAAATTGTCCTTTTGTTCTTAAAAGTTTATAATGCTTCACTTCATGTTAGGACTTATATAGTAGTTTACAGGTAGTTAAAACAAATACTTTTGATGTTCACCAAACCATAGCCAACATCACAGGTTTTGTTTTAAAATAAAAATTTTTCCCTTAAATCTACCTTTGGAGCGTTTATGTACAGTAAAAAACGGTTATAACGAAATCACTGGGGCCACAGACACTTGGGGAAAGGACCTCCCCCCCCCCCCCCTTTTCCCTTTTTTCTTTTCTTTTTTAAAATTTGGGGTTGAGTGCCTTTTCCTATTTTTGTATTCTAATTATACACTATATATATATTATCAATAATGCGACTCTTTTGTCTCTATAAGCTGTTTTTAAAAATATCGTTTTCGACTAATATATAAAAAGAGAGAAGGCTTGCAATTCTTTTCTCGTCATGTACCTTAATTTCTACAGTTCTGAGCTAATTTTGTACGGTGTACGTCTCTCCATCTAGCTGTCTGTCCGTTGTTTCCCTTTCGTTTGCAAACATTTCAAATTTTGACTTCTTCTCAAGAACCACTTGACCAATTTCAACCAAACTTGCTACAAACTATCATTGCGTAAATAACAGGATTCAATGCATAAGCAATACTACCGGTGTATCCCTACCAGCAAGTGTTCCCCTTTAGTTCCATTTAAAATGAAAATGCCGTAATTCCGTAAAATCATTGAATTGAACATAAAGCAAATTATTTTGATCTAGACTTTAACTCATCAAGATATATAAATGCACGTACCAAAAAATTAGCTAAATATCTACAAGCGTTTACGAAAAACAGCGAAAACCGTTGAAAATTAAATAAGGCCCCAATTCACACAAAAATCATTGAAAAGAAATTAAATCCAAACTTGATCTGTAAATCGTCAAGATATACTCATCTACCAAATATCAGCTCAATATCTACATAGTGTAGAAAAAATTGCGGAGAACCAAGTGGCAGACTGACACACAGACAGATTGATAGACGGACGGAAAACAGACGAGGAAAAACCTAATGTCCCTTCCGGTTTCACTGGTAGGGGACTAATAAGTATCTGTTTCAATCGATCCAGTCTTAATGCTTATTGAATGCTATATACGGTGTTACAAACTGCATTTATTTCTTTTTTAGCTGATCATTGACAAACTTGCATTCACCCACGATGTTGAAAAGCATAACATTTTTGCTCCTGCTTTCATCCACACAAGGTAAAATAATAAATGGTATTTTGGAGAAATAAATCTCAAACTTTTATATTCTGTGCAAAATGTGTCGAATTAAAGCTAAAACAAGTAAAAATTTCGAGATCGCTACATTTGAACATTCTTGATATTAGTATTTGATTAAAAAAAAAAGATGTGTTTGTGAAACACTGATGCCCCCGAATGGCAACATAGCAAAGATTAAAGTTTTCTTAAATGCAAATTTAATATATTGGTACCAAAATTAGGGTATTCTCACTGGAAATACAATTGTGAATATAAAAGTAAGCCAAGGTAAAAGTTTTTTTCATAAGTACAGAAATTTTCAGGGTCATTGGTATCCAATGAAAGGTCTTGCCTCAAAAAAATACATATGTAAAGTATGGAAGCCCTAGCCCTAACAGTTCAGAAGGTATGGCCAAGGTTAAAAAATTTTAAAAGTAGGTCAAACACCAAGGTCAAGGTCAAAGGTCTTAATCATGCAAGGTCCCGTCACAAGAATTAAATATGTAAAGTATGAAAGCACTAGCCCTGATTCTTTTAAAGTAATGGTCAAGATTTGCTTTTTAAAAGAAGCTCAAACTCCAAGGTCAAGGTCAAAGGGTCAAAGTTCTTGGTATCCAATGAAGGGTATTTTCACAAGAATTACATAAGTGAAGTATCAGATCACTAGCCCTTAGCATTCAAAAGTTATGGCTAAGGTTAAAGTTTTTTTCACAAGTACGGAAATCTCCAAGGTCAAGGTCAAAAGATCAAGGTTGTTGATAACCAATGAAAGTTCTTTCAACAAAGAATACATATGTAAAGTATAAATGTCCTGGTATCTACTGTTAAAAAAATATAACCAAAGTAAAAGTTTGGAATTTTTGTGTATAAGTGGGGCAAACTCCAAGGCATCTTCGCTAGCCAAGGGTTTTCGGTCCGCAACGCTCACCATTAACCCTTGGACGATATGCATTTTAAAACGCCGGTCACATATAGCGCCATCTGTAAATTCTTCAGAAAGAACGTGATTCTGGTTGAAGCAAACAGACAATGAAACGATAGCTTTTATGTATGTTTCGGTAGAAAATTATACACAATATGGCGACTTCCATTGAAACAACATATGGAATACAAAAATTAAATTCTTTCCAACAAGAAGCGATATATACTTTAACGGACAGACGTGGTGTGTTCATAGCAACGAAAACGGATTTACACATGCGTTAGAATTTCCTCGAAAACTTCTTAAAAGTTGTAGGCCGTAAATTAAAAAAACAGTTATTTCATTGGTCCACGGTCGGCTACAACTCTCCAATGAAAATTGACCGGCGTTTTACAATGCATATCGGTAAAAGTTTTATGGGGAGCGAAGATGACTCAAGGTCAAAAGGTCAAATTTGGTGGTACCCAAAGAAAGGTCTTGTCACAAGAAATACACAGTCATAGCTTCACTAAATCAAAAGTTATGGGCTAGGTTAAAGTTTTTGCGGACAAACAAACAGACAGTTAGACAGGCAGAGAGACAGCTAGACAGACGGACGGACACGACAAAAACTATATACACCCGAAACTTAGTTTACGGGGGCAAAAAATATTTTTTAGGGTGGTGGTTGAAATCAAAGGTTTGTTACCCACACGTTGGGTGTTTCAGCAACGCAAAGCCATTCCACAATGCATGGTTAAAATTACCTCAGTCACCAAGTACTATTGATACCACCTTCAACCTGTACACCAGACAAAACACGGATACCGCCCAGATCCTGAATCCTTATGATACAAACACCGTCTCCAGTTCACACTTTGATTCCAGTCTGCCGACTGTTTTTATTACTCACGGATTCCAAGATACAGCTAAATCTGGATGGCCACTGGATATGAAAGACGCCCTTCTACAAAATGTTGGTAATTTTTAGCAAATAATCATATTCATGCCTTTTATTATTGAACAATTCTGTTAAACCGGAATACCCTGTAACATCTGTTAGTAACGTGTTCTCAACTTTAAATGGGTAAAATAAAGCTTATTCTAACGTATTCATAATTCTCTAATATAAGTCAGTGGACAAAGCACAGCCATGAATTCATTCATAATCTATATTCATCTATTCAATATTAGTTTGAATTTAAGCATGACTATAATACGAGCAAAGCGTTTGTTGAACTGTATTATTATCATCTGCTGAATTTATGTTTTTGAATTGTTCTCATAATCAATATCATCGTCCATTGAGCAGAAAATATGTTGTAGCAAATTATTCGAGCTTACCTTAAATTAAAGGAGATCTTTTTAAGAACTGGTACTTACAGTGAACGAATCCAAAGAAAATTGATTTTGTCCACAGATATTACAATAAGTAGTCGTATTTCGTATTTAAGTAGTAAGTAATAAGTAGTATTTTAAAAAATAAATATATTCTCTTTTAGGGAGACTTGAATGTGATAGCTGTTGACTGGTCGAAGGGCACGGATGGATTACTTTACTTTCAATCCGTCGCCAATACTCGCCTGGTTGGGGCCACTATTGGAAACATGATAAAAACTTTACAAGATAGCGCCAGCTTATCTGTAGAAGAGGTCCATCTTATCGGTCACAGTCTAGGTGCCCAAATTATGGGGTACGCCGGGGACTGGGTGGAGGGAATTGGCAGAATCACGGGTATGTCATAAATAGAAAAGTTAACTAAAGGTCAACTAAATTGTACCGTAGATCAGTAAGATGCACACTGACCCCATATTTTCGCGCGATTTTGAGTTACACTATATGCGTACTTATCAAAAATATACTTATCAAAAAATCCTTGATTTAACAAATTTCACGAGTGATATACCTTAAGTTTCCAACCCAGGTGGCAATGGAAATGCTAACGGATGTTTTAATAGAACCACCCTCCGTCATCTATAAAAATTATAGATTAAACTATACTAGCAATTAAAGTGCTCTCTCTCTCTCACTCAGTACAAAACTTGAACAAGATGTGTTTGTGAAACACTATGCGCCCGACGGCAACAAAGCTCCAAAATACTATTTTTAGCATATACATGTAGGTCACAGTCAAGGTCACAAGGTCATTGATCTTGAAAGAACTTTATAAGTGGAGTATGCATACCAAATATGAAGTCTCCATCTCCTATGGTTCAAAAGTTATGGCGAAAGTTCGAAAAAGCTGATTTTATTAGCATATAAGTTACAGTCAAGGTCACAAGGTCATTGACACTGGTCACATTTGAAAGAACTATATTAGTGAAGTACGCATACCAAATATGGAGTCTCTATCTCCTATGGTTCAAAAGTTATGGCGAAAGTTCGAAAAAAGCTATTTTTAGCATGTAGGTCACAGTCAAGGTCACAAGGTTATTGACACTGGTATCTCTTGAAAGAATTTTATTAGTGGAGTATGCATGCCTGACATCAAGTCTCTATCTCTCAAGGTTCAAAAGTTATGGCGAAGGTTAAAGTTGACAACAGACGGACAGACAAACAGATAAACAGACAAACAGACAGGACAAAAACAATATGCACCTAGGGTTATGATCCAGGCGCATAAAAATAAATATATAGATGTCACTTTTGAATTTCAGGATTAGACCCAGCTGGCTTTTGTTATGAAAAGTATGACAACAAAGTGAAACTAGATCCCTCTGACGCTAATTTTGTTGACGTCATTCATACCAATGGAGGCTCGCTGGAACAATTGGGTAAGTAAAAATTATATAAACACTTCATAAGAGGAAAAAATATTTGATTTTGTTGGCTTAAATCATATTTTTGTATTGCATAGCTTTTGGAATCAGAACACCAAATGGGCACGTTGACTTCTATCCAAACGGGGGTAGTCATCAGCCTGGATGCACGAACGGTGCGTGGCAGGACATTAAGTATTTTCTTGAAGGAAAAATCAAAAGTACGTACATTGAAGTCTCCGTTCTCGCAATAACCACCATTTCATTAACATCAAATCTTAAAAATAAAATTTACATTTATAAACACTAACATATTCTTCTTTTTCACAGAGATTGAAAGGAACATTGCATGCAGTCATGACCGAGCAGTGTACTTGTTCATCGCGTCCATCCATTTTTGTGAATTTAAAGCATACTCCTGTACAGGGGGGTACTCGGACTTCGAACTGGGCGAGTCAGGACATGTGGAAATGGCTGCAATAGTGGGCACGATGTTGATACGAATGTACACGGCAAATTTTACCTGCAAACAACCGCTGATCCTCCCTTTTGTAAAAGAGACTAAGTCTGGAGTTTACTTCCCCCCTTTATTTTATTATGTAGGCCTTTCAACTAATTTTCAAGTTTTAAAAAACATTTAATAGATCGATTTATATGTATGTGAAATTCTCAAAAAAAAGATTGTAACCTATACATACCTTTAATTCAATCATCAAAAAGAATTTAAATATTATCAATAGTGATATGTACGATACAATCTCCCGTGCAGAGTTGCCGTTCGTTTCTATTCAGGCACTGTGAGCCGATAGCAGAGGATGATGTACGATATTGTATCGGTATTTTAAGGAAAGGAAACTCATTTGTAAAAAAAAAAAACAACCAATTAAGTGTAGATTTGTGAGTCATCGTAAATAAGACTGACATAGAGGCTGCTTCAACTGGTTTTGTTATGTACACGAAAGGGTTGACCAAAACAAGGAGAAAGTCTTCACGCTTCCTGACGTAACGATATCAAGTGAATAGGGATCTGACTACGGATATTCAAGATTTTTAATTCTCTCTGACAGTTGTTATGAAGAAGAAAATATAATGTCATGTTATCGTTCTTAATGTCTAACCCTAGCGGCAGTAAAAAAAGCCTTTAAGTTATAGAATGCTGTACTTGTAAACAGAATAAATCTAAAAGCATTTAACTGTTCGTTGTTATAGTTGTGTATTCTGCAAATGAAAGCAAGGCTTAGTGTTCAGTCTTGCGAATTTTTCTGACTGAAGAAAAAGATTATTGTCGCCCACGTTGCGCAGTGGTTTGAATGTCTGCTTTTAAGTCGCGGAGTAAGGAGCTGATCCTTACATCGCGGGTTCGAATCCACTGCGGGACGTTGAGACCAGTTCTTCGAATGAGACTGTAGAAATCTGGGTCCCGTGTCGCAGTAGTTGGCACGAAAAAGATTTTTCAATGTTCATTGTCCCTGAGTACCAAGTATTGGTATATAAATAAATTTGCAGCCCTCAAGCGGCATCTCCATTTGAGTAAAAAAAAAAATTCTCGAGAGACAAGAGGGATGTTAAACACATAACAAACAACCAACAAACGAACAAATCCTGTTTTAATCGACCATGCAATAAAAATCATTATGAAATCAGAAGATGGGTGAACAAGGTGTGCATAATGCCTATATCTTTATATAAATAAAATTCATTTCTTAAATTGTGAATTAGGTTTTTAACGAGGTTTCCTTATATTTTAAAGCTTTAACTTTTTTGTACAGTATAGCTTTAAAATTAAAAATCAAATCAAAATATGAGGGTCTGTGACAGTGTGCTTTTTTTTGCGCTACGGTACATTTAATATGACCTTTGTGCACTGAAATTTGTGCCTTTATCAAAAATTACATCTTTGAATTTTTCCCTCCAATATTTTTACACAAATGAAGCATGGAACAAAACAAATTATTTTTAAAAGGACACTTTAAAATTGCTTCGTATAATCATTTGACCTTTCTGCACTCACAGAATGTGATTTTTCTGGCATTGAAAATTTAATAAGTAAAGTTGTCTTTAATATTCAGAAAAGAGCATCAAAAGTTGGGGTATATGATGTTAATTTGATGTAAATTTTTAGATATTATTAAAAATGTATCAATTTCATGTTAAAATTGGCTCAATTTACCCTGGTTTTTCAGAATATATTTACTATATTTGTCATAATTCGTCGAAACAATTCATAACAAATGATTTAAAAGATCACCGCAAAAACAGCTTTGCGTGCAACCCGCATGGAAAAAAAGGAATCTAAAATTAACAGTACTGTATATAGTTCAAAAGGCTAAAATTGATAATTTCTTCTAAAAAACTTTCCGCCACAAAATATAGTTCCTGGCTTAATCTACTGAATGAAATTTAATTGCGATTTTTACATTGGATATACTTGTAGTTTATTTTGCATTGTAGAATCTAAATTCAATGTTAAAACTTAAAAATGATGGAGAATTTTAGAAATAAAGGTCCAGACCAAAATCACTTAAACACAGGATCGAATGTCCTAAAGGCGAACCGCCTTTAGGACATCGAACATCGAACCGATCCTAGCTTTTGAGCAGCATATAGTCTAAACCTTCGTTTCTAAAACTTTGCATCATTTTAATTTAAGTTCTTACAATAAATTTGGATTCTGCTATGTAAATTAAACGAATTTTAATGAAAAACCTCAATAAAATTTCATTCCAATAGGACTAAGCCAGGAACCATATTTTAAAGCGGAAGGATTTTTAGAGTAAAATGATCAATTATCCCTTTAGAAGTATTTACAGTACTGATAAGTTAAGATGCCTATTTTAAATAATATTTTTCCATGGTTACACACAGAGCTATTTTGAGCAGTGAAATGCTTTATGCTGGCATTGGGATATTTAATTCATTAATTTTTTTTTTATCAATTCTATGGTCTTATTGTTTCAAAAATAGTAAATATATTCTGAAAAGTCCCAGACAAAATTGAGCCAATTTTAACGTAAAATTAAAAATTTCTTAAATATCTGAAAGTTTACGCTATACTAGGACCCTAGATCACCAGCTCATTCACAACTATCAAACCTGTTTACTCCGCTACAAAATGTAGTGCATTGCAACCGTAAAGTGAAACTATATAAATCATACTACTCTATAAAGTCTTTCCAATCTAAAACAACAAACAGAAAACGTATTTTTTGTCAAAGGAATAACTATTTTATAATTATTAGAAAAGATACAGGTGGAGGGTAAAACCAAGCATATATGATAATATATTATATGTTCTACAGTAATACATTACGTTGGGTGTGTTGTGGTCTCCATTATAATATTAATATACCACGTAAGACAACAGTATCAATTTAACACAGTATCCAACCTCTGGTTTCCTTATTAATATACGTGTATATGAGTAGCGACCTCCTATCTCTGCATGCGTATGCAGATCTAAAAAGAAGGGGAAGGGGGGTATGTTCCCTCCAACGCTTGGACATTTCACTACTTCTTCCAGATATATACAATAATAGATAATAATGTGTAATTATTTGGTAATCGATTATATTAGGTGTCCTTTGGTCTTCCTTACGAGACGTCATACCTTAAAATGTGACCTTATCAGTTTTACACTTTAGTAAGCCTCTGGATATTATTGATCTTACAGAGTAATTTTCCCCCTGTCTAGAATAGTGGGAGATTGGAGTTCACACACACCCATTTTCCCTTGAATTTACATTTGAATTTGGAGATATTGATTATTTTCTTTTGCTTGTCAAAAAACCAGGGTCTCAATTTAAAGTTTGGAATGGATTTGAAATGTAATTTTTCACACACCACACTTTTTAAACTATTGTCTCCTTACAACTTGTAAGTGACCCCAGGTCTTCCAGGTCTTCCAAATGAGTCGCCCGCGTGGCGCGGTGTTTAGAGCGTCTGCTTTAGAGTCGCGAAGTAAGAAGTTGATCCTTACGTCGCGGGTTCGAATCCCACTGTGCGACGTGGAGACCGGTCCTTCGGATGAGACCGTATAAACCGAGGTTCCATGTCGCAGTAAGTGCTGGCACGAAAAAGATCCCTCCCTGCTCAATGGCCATGAGTGCCGAGTATAGGACAAAATTTGCAGCTCTCCAACGGCAAGTGGTGGTGTCTCCATATGAGTGAAAAATTCTCGAGAGGGACGTTAAACAATATACAATCAATCAGTTTTCCAAATGATTTACGATATAAGATTACTTCTGGTCTCTGCGATCATAAGCAACTTTATATGAACTTTGATATCCATTATGGTGTACAATATAGGGTAACCCTAGGTTTCCATATTCTATATTTGGAGACCAGAGGTAACCTAAAGTTTATATGAATAGGGAAGTCAGAGTTCCCCTGATGCTTAACATACCAGACGTCCCTTATGTTGTACATTATTAAGGAGACTAGAGGTCACATAAAGTTGTTTATGAATACGGAGACCAGAGATCCCCTTATATTGTTCATCATTGCAGACCACTGTCTCAAAAAGTTGTGTATAATATGAATATGAGACTAAAGGTCACCTTATGTTGTACTCCCATAGGGAGACCAGAGGTCACCTTGTATTGTACATCATTAGGGAGACCAGAGGTCACCTTATATGGTACATCATTAGGGAGTTCAGAGGTCACCTTATATTGTACATCATTAGGGAGATCAGAGGTCACCTTATATTGTACTTTAATAGCTAGACCAGAGGTAATCTTTTATCTTAGATCATTAGGGAGACCAGAGTTCATCTTACATATTGAACATCATAAGGAAGATCAGAGCTCACCTTATTTTGTACATCATAAGGGAGATCAGAGTTCACCTTATATATTGTACATCATAAGGGAGATCAGATTTCACCTTATAAATTGTACATCATAAGGGAGATCGGAGTTCACCCTATATATTGAACATCATAAGGGAGATCAGAGTTCACCTTATATTGTACATTATAAGGGAGATCAGAGTTCATCTTATATATTGTACATCATAAGAGAGATCAGAGTTCACCTTATATTGTACATCATAAGGGAGATCAGAGTTCACCTTATATTTTGTATATCATAAGGAAGATCAGAGTTCACCTTATTTTGTACATCATAAGGGAGATCAGAGTTCACCTTATATTGTACATTATAAGGGAGATCAGAGTTCACCTTATATATTGTACATCATAAGGGAGATCAGAGTTCACCTTATATATTGTACATCATAAGGGAGATCAGAGTTCACCCTATATATTGAACATCATAAGGGAGATCAGAGTTCACCTTATATTGTACATTATAAGGGAGATCAGAGTTCATCTTATATATTGTACATCATAAGAGAGATCAGAGTTCACCTTATATTGTACATCATTAGGGGGACCAGAGGTCACCTTGTATTGTACATCATTAGGGAGATCAGAGGTCACCTTATATTGTACATCATAAGGGAGACCAGAGGTCACCTTATATTGTACATCATAAGGGAGATCAGAGTTCATGTGAAGCTGTATATGAATGCGGAGACCAGAGGTTCTCAGAGTTCACTTTATATATTGTACATCATAAGGGAGAGCAGATTTCACCTTATATATTGTACATCATAAGGGAGATCAGAGTTCACCCTATATATTGAACATCATAAGGGAGATCAGAGTTCACCTTATATTGTACATTATAAAGGGAGATCAGAGTTCATCTTATATATTGTACATCATAAGAGAGATCAGAGTTCACCTTATACTGTACATCATAAGGGAGATCAGAGTTCACCTTATATATTGTACATCATAAGGAAGATCAGAGTTCACCTTATTTTGTACATCATAAGGGAGATCAGAGTTCACCTTATATATATTGTACATCATAACGGAGATCAGAGTTCACCTTATATATTGTACATCATAAGGGAGATCAGATTTCACCTTATATATTGTACATCATAAGGGAGATCATAGTTTACCCTATACATTGAACAGCATAAGGGAGATCAGAGTTCACCTTATATTGTACATTATAAGGGAGATCAGAGTTCATCTTATATATTGTACATCATAAGAGAGATCAGAGTTCACCTTATATTGTACATCATAAGGGAGATCAGAGTTCACCTTATATTGTACATCATTAGGGGGACGAAAGGTCACCTTATATTGTTTAATAGAAGAGGTTATCTTATATTGTGCATCGGTAGGCGGATCAGAGGTCACCTTATATTGTACATCATAAGGTAGACCAGAGGTCACCTTATATTGTACATCATAAGGGAGATCAGAGGTCATGTGAAGCTGTATATGAATGCGGAGACCAGAGGTTCTCAAATATTGTACTTTATCAGAGAGGCCAGATGTCATATAAAGTTTAAAGTGTAAATCTTATATTGAACATCATAATGGAGACTAGAGGTCACATAGAGTTGTCTGAATACGGAAATCATTGGTCCCTATAAATTTTACAATATTTCCATTTCTATTTGTTTTCTCTGTGATAACTCTTTGTAAGTTAGTGGAGTTGATTTCTTCATAATTATGCCGGAATGTAAATTAGGCAAATCATAGATCATCATTGCAGACCACTGGTCTCAAAAAGTGTGTGTATAATATGAATATGAGACTAAAGGTCACCTTATGTTGTACTCCCATAGGGAGACCAGAGGTCACCTTGTATTGTACATCATTAGGGAGACCAGAGGTCACCTTATATGGTACATCATTAGGGAGATCAGAGGTCACCTTATATTGTACTTTAATAGCTAGACCAGAGGTCATCTTTTATCTTAGATCATTAGGGAGACCAGAGTTCACCTTATATGGTACATCATTAAAGAGATCAGAGGTCACCTTGTATTGTACATCATAAGGGAGATCAGAGTTCACCTTATATATTGTACATCATAAGGGAGATCAGAGTTCACCTTATATATTGTACATCATAAGGGAGATCAGAGTTCACCCTATATATTGAACATCATAAGGGAGATCAGAGTTCACCTTATATTGTACATTATAAGGGAGATCAGAGTTCACCTTATATATTGTACATCATAAGAGAGATCAGAGTTCACCTTATATTGTACATCATAAGGGAGATCAGAGTTCACCTTATATTGTACATCATTAGGGAGACCAGAGGTCACCTTGTATTGTACATCATTAGGGAGATCAGAGGTCACCTTATATTGTACATCATAAGGGAGACCAGAGGTCACCTTATATTGTACATCATAAGGGAGATCAGAGGTCATGTGAAGCTGTATATGAATGCGGAGACCAGAGGTTCTCAAATATTGTACTTTATCAGAGAGGCCAGATGTCACATAAAGTTTAAAGTGTAAATCTTATTTGTTTTCTCAAGTTAGTTGTAATGATTCTTTGATCATTCTGCCGGAAGTATTTCGCCAAGCGATAGATCAGGAGCTAAGAAAACTTAATGTGGATGTAAATTTCGTATGTCTGTCTTTGTGTCTGACGCTAAGGAGGCCAAATGTGCACGTGAATCTTGTGCGGATATGTTTGACGTCAGTGGGAGGGGGCTATTGAAAGTGACATGGGAAGTCAAGTGTAATTGAAATCTATTCGTCTATATTTCTAAAATTTAATATTTACAATTTCATTCCATAATTAAATGGGAATATAAGGAATCTGAGTCTAGTTAATAGTATGCTAGGAACATCAGCGAGATTCAGAAACGTGGGATAATTTATGCATACACAACTTTATGTGACCTTTGGTCTCCCTAATGATATAATTATGATATGAGGGAACCTCTGGTCTCTGTATTCATGAACTCATGAACCAGAGGTAATAAAAAATGCATATTAATGCGGAGACCAGAGTTAACCTTACTATCCATATCCATAATTAGGGAGTCCTCTTTTCTGTCCTCTCTTCTCCCTACTGATGTTCAACATAAGGTGACCTCTGGTTTCCCTACTGAATGATATAATAAGGGACTCCTCTTTTTCTACCTATTGATGTACATTATAAAATGACTATAATCATAACCCCTCCCACCCCACCCGTGAATCACAAAAAGCTTTGGTTTGAATTTGTGAAATGACAGTCCATATCACATGTAAAAAGGAATTTTTAGTTTCACGGGAGGGGGGGGGGTAAAAATATTTTCCGTTTTCCATTGATTTCTATAATGAAAAACACAAGTTTTATCCAAATTACCTCTCTTTTTCCCCAAATAAGTGATGTTTACTGAAATTTCATATAAATATCTATATAAATGTGCAATCTGTCATATATTTTAACTTTTGAAAATTCACTTTGAGGTAGGCGGAAGAAAATGCTATCGTTCGCAGTTCTTTCATTCAGTGGTATAAGAAGAGCTGCGGATAAGAGATGGGCACCCCAAAGCGTAACAGACGGACATACAGACATGTGCAGACGGATGCATATCCCGATTATTATGTACTCTCCCACTTTTCAAGGAAGGATATAACATGAAAAGAAAAAAAAATCAAACCAACAGAGCGTATCAAAGCTTTGGAAAAACGGTTAGACACGTGATATCGTGTTTCCCTTTAAAATACCAGGAAAGCGTGACATTCGTCCATTTTGGTTTGCGTGTGACAAAGCAAGAAGGAAAAAATAAAAAGGTGAGTCTTAAAAGTCGTCTTTTTGTCTTAAAATGTTATATGCTTCAATTCAGATTTGGACTTACATTGTATCGCTCGCTGAAATTATCAGGTCCCAAGATTTTTGATAAACTACATACATTATTAAAAGAATAACTGAGTCCAAATTCCACAATCTACTTGTATATAGAATTATACTAAACTTCCATACTGTCTGCTTTACATTGCTTAATGTTGAAGTCACTCTAAATATCAAAAAGTTTGATAAATAGAATACAGTTTTGTTAAATATTTCACCTTAAATTTCGGAATCAAGTGTTCGATAAGTAAACTTGGCTCTTTTCACGCATGCTGCTCAGTGGTTACATGGGTTATCTCATTCTTTTGTTTCTGCTACGTTCCCACATGTAGTGAGCCTAGCGGAAGACAACTCTGGTTAGAGAATGGGGTTATCTAGAGCTCAAACATCCCGTAGTCGCAGATAATTCATATGTCCAACTGTGTGATTTAGATTAAACCTACAAATTGTGAGTGGTGGCACAAAATAGATACGTTAACTTTACTGCTCAAAGTGTTCCAGGTGCTAAAGTGCCCAGTACAGGTCAAAAATTGCAGCTGGTATCTAAACAGAAAAGCATAGGTAACTTCCCTCATCCGACAGTCAACGGGGCTTGTTGGACATTTTTTTCACAAATTATATTTATTACACTTATTAATCCCCTGGGTTGAATGGGCCTCCTTCGACAAGTAACTGTGCAGAAAAGGGAAATGATAGTGCTCACAGTTTTGATTGATTGCTAAGATACATTGTACACGTATGTTTTAACTCCTTTTATTCAGGTCAAAGAGTCTCTCTCTCTCTTGATACAAATTATGTATCTTGATTCAGGTACTCAGTATTCAAACGTATTTATATATATTTTTGTAAAATACTGATGCTTAAAAGTTGCAATTGTTAACTGATTGCTCTTTTATAATTATATACATGAGGCAATAAGCAATAAACATTGCTTTTTTTGAATTTAAGAAATGGGTATTTTTAGTCAGATAGTAGATAACCACAGTATTACTGAAGTCCATCCGTTACAATGAAGTGTAGATAAATTGTTACTCGTGTCCAGTTTATCTTTCTTTGATCATGTTTGGTTTTAATTCAGTTTATCATTTAAACAAACAACTTAATTGTTGTAAACAGTTAATGAGAGTACGATCACGTATTTACATAGATTCAATTATACTTACTGGACTCGGGTATTTCAGAGAAATTTTTATAAAGTTGATTGCCTAAAAATGACGGTTTCTGTGGAAGTTTTTGGAGATGTATACAATTTTAATGAAATAAGTAAGGGTATACATATTGGAAGCACTGATATTTAAATTTCAAATGGATTTGTTGAAATTTTAAAAAGTTACAGACTTTTAAGGGTTTGACGTAGTTTAATGTACAAAACGACTTGACAGTTATACGAAATGTGTAAGTGGGTTATGTAAGTTTACATTAATTCCCGTACTAGCAAAGAAAGATTTGGTGGGGGTAGAGCAAACATTTTTAACGGGGGACACTATCAACTACTAAAAATTCCTTGACAAGGAAAAGAAAAAAAGGATCATCAGACGTTATTATTGAGGGAACACAAGCATAAAGTACATGTAGTTAAGTTTTCTATATATCGGCAACATTATTAGGGGCACGGCCGACACCCGGTTCCTACGGACATGGTTCTTCATGGACAGATTAACTTCAATGGTCTTCATTAGAAATAAAGGAAATAATATTTGACTTGCACGAGTCTTTTTACACATTTTTATTAAGATAGAAAAAATGGTGTTATGACAATAAAAGAAAGAAATGTGTTCTTTTTAATTTTATTTCAGGTATCTCAATTCAATATGAGATCACATAAATTATGGAATATTTTTTACTGCAAAACGTTCATTTTTTTTCAATTTATTTTTAAACCGCGTCCTTTCTTTTAGTTGCCATACGGGAACATTACTCCATTGAAACAACTTTCGTTGAATATAAATATACAGTTTTTTTTGGGACAAACTGCGGATTCAGAAAAAAAAAATATCTGTGAAACGTGCATTCTTGACATTTTCTGGTAGTGTGCTATATGATGTTAGAAACTGCATTTATTATTTCTTTTTCAGCTGGTCGTTGATAAGTTTGTTCCATATTCGTCCATGATGTTGAAAAGCATAACACTTCTGCTTCTGCTTTCATCCACACAAGGTAAGAAAAATACAAGTGTATGTCAAATAAGAACTAAGTACAAGTGTATGTCAAATTAGAACTAAATACAAGTGTATGTCAAATTAGAACTAAATAAGCATAAATTATTTGATCATTCTTGATGCATGTATTAGTATCTGATGGAAAAACAATATTCTTCTAGGGTGGCTTTTCAAACCGAAGCCAAAGCAGGTTTGTTACCCAAACATAGGATGTTTCAGCAACGCACAGCCGTTCAACAATGCAAAGAGAACCTTGCCCCAGTCTCCGAGTACTATTGATACCACCTTCAACCTGTACACCAGACAAAACACGGATACCGCCCAGATCCTGGATCCTTATGATACAAACACCGTCTCCAGTTCACACTTTGATCCCAGTCTACCGACGATTTTTATCACCCACGGATTTCAAGACACTGCTAAATCTGGATGGCCACTAGAGATTAAAAACGCCCTTCTACAAAATGTTGGTATTTTTCTGCAAAAATTCATATTAATGCTTGTCAATAAGTATAGTAACATTTCACTGGAGGTACTGTGTGCACTGAGCTCACTAAATGATACCCCCGCCTCCCATATGATTACACATTGTAAAAGTCCATGTTTTGCTCTGGGAGACCCGAAATAAGTGTCAGGTCAAAAAGTAAAATAGAAGGAACAAAATGGCATTATATAATGAAGAGTCTGTGAAAGGATACTTAGTAATTAAATTTCACTCAGTGGTGTAAGAAGAATTGCGGATGAGAGATGGGTATCCCCAAAACATAAAACATAAAGTATATCGTAGTATTGTGTTCTCAAATCCAAATGGGGAAATAAATAAAAACTACATGATTACGTAGAAATATATTTATTTCGAGCTGTCAGAAAAATTCAGAGACGTGTCCAAACGCCGGTTCTTTCCTTGTATGGGCCATAAACAGAAAGTTTTCACTACGAATACGTATTTTTTTAATTTATATTTTTCAGGGAGACATGAATGTGATAGCCGTTGACTGGTCAAAGGGCACCCAAGGAAGAATTTACCGTCAGTCGGCCGCCAATACCCGCGTGGTGGGCGCCACCATTGGGAACATGATCAAGGTTCTACGAGACAGCTTCAGCTTACCTCTGGGACAGGTCCATCTTATCGGACACAGTCTCGGTGCCCAAATCATGGGGTACGCAGGGGACAGGGTACGAGGAATTGGCAGAATCACGGGTATATATTTATTCGTTTACGGCTATATCATTATGATTCATATTGGGATGAAGATATTTCAAATCATTTTACATTAGCTCTTGATTTCTGTTCAAAAGTAAAGTGCACATATCTTTTTTCATGTTATATGATGTAGTTGATCAATCTTCTATTATATAAGAGCTCTTTCTTTTCTTTTTCACAAATATGTATGTAACAGTGTCTATTTTAAGGGATACAATGAGATATTGGTCTTGAATTTTAGGACTAGACCCGGCTGGATTATATTTTGAAAAATTTGACACCAAGGTTAAATTGGATCCTACTGACGCGAATTTTGTTGACGTCATTCATACCGATGGTGCCTCTCTGCTGGAAATGGGTAAGTAACAAATCGGGAGAAATTCATGGAGAGAGAATCTGAAATGGTTGGCTAATGTTTTATTTTTTGTCACATAGCTTTTGGTATCAGGACACCAAATGGACATGTTGACTTCTATCCAAACGGGGGCACAAGACAACCCGGATGTAAACGTAGTCTATGGAGCAACATTCAGAATTTCTTCCAAGGAAAAATGGGAAGTACGTACCAGTATTTCTTGCTGTTTCATCTTTTTTCCTCTGTGCTTTACGAATTTCTATCGTATATTTTTCATACGTTTAGTGCCCTAGTTCTTGCAATAATCACCGTAATGTGATCTAAAGGGTTTATTCACTTTGCTTAATTTCTTAAAAATGCAACTTTCTTCAAACATATAATCATTGTTTTGACATGAAATTAATCTTAAAACTTGTCCTAATAAGGTGATTGGTTTATCATAAACACTAACGTATTTCTCTTTTCAGAGATTTCATCAAGCATAGCATGCAGTCACATGCGGGCGATCGACTTCTTTACCGAGTCCATTAATTCGTCTTGTGAATTTAAAGCCTATCTATGTACGAGTTACTTGGAATTTTACAGTGGCAAGTGCAAGTCATGTGCTAATGGATGCAATAGAATGGGTTTCCATGCCGATAAGAATGTTCATGGCAAATTTTACCTGCAAACAAACGCTGCTCCTCCCTTCTGTAAAATTTAAAGCCAGAGGTTGGAATGTGCATGACATATCCGTGTTATGATTTGTTTTTGGTGTTTAAGAGTTATAGCACACAAAATAAAATGAAGAAAATTATGTTGCTTTTTGTCGTACATATTTTATAAGAAAAGGCACATAATAGGGACAGGTAACCAGGCTATCGAGAGCGGTAGCAATGATAAAATGAAGTGTTATCGTACAGTCTATCCACAGTAGTTTTCCCAGAATGCCCGACCGTGACACCGAGCATGCGTATTCCAGAAATATGCACAAAAGTAGTTGCTAGAGCTCGAGAGAGCTGGCAAAAAGACTGAACACAGTTTTCTCTGTAATGATTTATTGTTTGAGATGGGACCAGGCTAACACTCTCGAGCGCTAGCAACTACATTAGTCTGTATTTCTGGAATACGCATACTGGACTTTACGATCGGGCATCCTGAAAAAGCTACCGCACAGTGGATAGACTGTACGATGATAATTTCGTTTTCAAGGACATGGGTATTACATGACGTGAGATAAGCCCATAGCGAAACAAACATGAAGGTGAAAAATTAAATCTCAATTATATCAAAATTTTCCTTAAAGCTGACATGAATTCTTAAAAACGCAACATTTTCATCTATGTACGACTTGTTTCATACCAACTATAGCCGTATTCCGCCATATTTCTTTCAGATACCTTGTCTCATTGTAACGATATATACCCAAAAGCGCTCGTTACAGTTGAATGATTTTTTGGTTTGGGTATCGACTTGTGCACATCTCCGATGGTAAAGCATATGAGAACACATGAGGAGATGAAGACATTTCAAAACCACAATAAACAACATAATAATCATATTTCTGAATAATAATTGATTTGAATCAAAAGAAAAAATGCAAGTTTGGTGAGAAATTTAGATGCACGTCACGCATACGTTTTTTTTCAGGGCGCCAATTTATGCAGAATAAACTTGAAATAAAAAGCAGTAAAATCTGCAGACAATTTTTAAATTATATCATTTGAATGGAACAAAACAACCAACGTATTTGATTTGCAGCCCCTATGCAATTGGTGAATATCGAGAAAACGCCTCGAACGCTATAAACGTACCCATACCTGGTAATAAGGTTACTGCATCCGTTCGAAGATGTGCACAAGTCAAGTGATATACACCCTGAATTCCATTTATTGAAATATGCATCACAAAAAAGAAATGAACTCCGTAAAAGCTCAAAAGTAAACACACTGTCATTACTCCGTACAGACTAGCAGGCCGATACACTTAGTCCGTGCTGATCAGATTTTGGTCAGGGAAAATATCACAAGTGGAAAGATAAGTTATTTGGTATTTGCACGGCTGAAGGGGGGGGGGTGTATTATAACTGCTGTTCATAAGCTATGATTGTGAATTGTCTATCTAAATGTAGTTCTAATATACATTCTATACAAAGTCATGTATACAGTCTGCAGTTGGTTTGCGTCGCAAAATTCATTTGTCAATTATAACTGATTATTTTAGTACTAATCTCAAATCTAAACCAAGTAATTTGATGTACGGTAATTATTTACTTCAAATCTTAAAAGCAGTTAACCAGAATACAATTTTTTTTATGTGTACATAGATCTATACGTTATTCAACAGACAAACACAGGAAGAAATGCCATCCCCTGTTCAGATTGACATCTAGGCATTTGATTTTTAGGGGGGGGGGGGGGGGGGGTGCAAAAAAAATTGACATGACCGTTATCTAAATATTAATGGAAGACAGAAAAAACTGCCGAATTAAGTTTTGAATTTTTTTTAAATGTGTCACTCCGACCACAAAGTATGTGCATTTTGAGGAATGTATAAATGTTTTATAATTATGTTGTTATAGAGATTCTATCGAGATTTCAGTATCCCTGCCTGATAGTCTCGCTATTTTTTTTTTTTATATATAAAAATAATTTCTGTAGGAGTATTTGGGAGATAATTTTAAAAGCTAGGGTAGGGATTCTTGACACTGGTTGAATACGGATAATTTTTATTTACTCTTTTGTATATTGAACTAACTCTCTCTCTCTCTCTCTCCCTCTCTCTCACTCTGTAACCATCCCTTAGGGCAATAATAGGTATAAGATCCTACGCACTTTCTGCTGTACCATTTATTAAGCCTTAGGACAGATCAAGGATTTTTTTTGCAGGCGGGATGTCGAAACTTCATAAATTGAATAATAATTTAAATTTGGACAAGAAGTTAACCCAAACGGCCAAATTGAAAGAGAAACTAGAGGTATTGTGAGCAATGAGCTCACTAAATGATACCCCCGCCTCCCATATGGTTATAATGGCAAAGTCCATATTTTGCTGTTGTCGCTAAACCCAAAATACGTGTCGGATCAAAAAGTAAAATAGGAGGTGCACAATGGTAATATGTAATAAACCTAAGATTCTGTGAAAGTTTTAGTAAATTTCACTAAGTGTTATAAGAGGATTTGCGGATAAGAGATGGGTACCCCAAAGCGTAACAGACCGACGGACGGACATAACTATAACTATATACCCTCCCACTTTTCAAGCGGGGGATATAATAAACGTGAAATATACATCACAGGAATGGGTACATTGGGAACTTTCTCAAATACCTTCTCAACGCATTGGCATCGGAAGCAAATTGAAAGTGAATGTGTGGGGGGGGGGGGCTAAGTGCAAAAATTTTTTTTTATACGTTCAAAAAAACTGAGAAGCAAAAAAAAAGGGGAAATGTCCTTTTCCAAAACACGAATATCACATTTCGTGTAGGGAAAGGGGGGGAGGTAGGTTCGAACTTCAGTAACAAAATTTTTCTCCAAACACCAACACTTTCCTCTTTGTTAACCTATACTGCGACTTGTCTGTGGAAAGTGTGTGTGTGTGGGGGGGGGGGGGGGGAGGGGGAGGCTAAACCTACGCAGCAATGTTAAGTGCCTATACTAAGCATATATTTGTAAAAAAAAAAAAAAAAAAAAAAAACTATCCCCCGGTTCCGACACCTATGCTCAACCGTACGAGTCGAACCTGAACCTGGGCAACAGACAAGAGAATTTTTAAAAAGCTAATTGTAGGTAGAATGTTGAATTCTCCCGGGGGTGGGGGTTGCTCTCTAATTCTATCTGCTTTTTCCAGTAATCGTTAATTATTTATGTCTATTAATTTAATTTACATTAAATTCTGGTCAGCGCAACTTCTTATAAACCACTGAACAGAGTTTTGTCGTACTTTCGAAATATTTATAGGAGTCAATGTTTGTCTAGATTTGCACATCACCAGGAAATTCCGAATTCTTTATTTTTTCGGGAATTTCCGCACTTTTACATTTAGATTTTGGCCAGGTCTTGATTATAAAGATGAGCAGTTTGTCAGCGCAATTCCTCATAAACCGCTGCACACAATTTCGTCAAACTTTGCAGATATTTAGGACACAATGTGCATAGATTTGCATATAACAAGAAAATTACGATTCCTTAATTTATTTTTTTTTTCTGGGAATTTCAGCACTTCGACTTTTGGGGGAGCGTGGGGTATGTTTTCATTCAATGTACATAAAATTATAAATAACTTTAAATCAAATTATATTAGGTCTAATAAAGCCAATACACAGTATTTATTTGATAATAATTAATCATAAAGAAATTTATATGTTTCAGACGTTTCCTTAAATTATTTTTATGAGAGTGTTAATATGCATGTTTTATTACACCCCCCCCCTCCTATCACAGGAAAATATCTTCAAAAGGTGAATGATTCGTAATAATGCATGCTTTATTATAAATTTAATGAAGTTAAACCATGTAATCATAAATTCTATTTGCAACATTTACAGACAAGAGTAATGTTTAGTTTTGAAAAAATCACTTGCATTTTACTGAGCTTTCAACCTTTGATATTTTCCCTGAGCAAATAAAATGATCGGCATGGGCCACGTGTGTCCAAGCATCTTTTACTGTTGAGTTAGCAATGGATTACTGAGATGCATTTTTCAATAAAAGTAAAATAGGATAATTCTTTCGACATGTGCACATCCCTGTAACGATAGCAGTATATTCAGGTAAATGTTTTATCACTGCGTTTGACGCGTTTTCTCGACCTGCATGGATTTTTGCTGTACATGAATGTATTCCGTGTAAGTGTATTTTCTATATTGCAGCAAATGCATTCAAAAATAATTTAATTCTCGGTGTAGTTCTATTGTTTGGTTGAATTCTTACTTTTCAAACATGTATTTGGTCAGTTTATTCAGTTTATGGACTTCTAAAAACTGTGCTATCGGAGATGTGTACATGTCGACAGCCAGGCTAGAAAATCACTCAAGTGAAACAATTCTACAAGGCTATATATAGCAGGTACAGGTGGCCAAAAATCTTCGATAAATATGGCGGAATTGAAGAAATATGGCGGACAAGGGCGTTAGTAAGTCGTACAAAGATGAAAACTGATGCCTTTTTAAGAGTTCATGTCAGCTTTAAAGCTGAACACTACTCGTAAATAGGCATAGTCCGCCATATTTCTCGTTCTTCAACGCTCTCCCTACAACTCGTATATAAGGAGCAGATCGCTAGACAGTTCAATGTATTTTACTATAGAGATCCGATGAGTGCAGACGTATATCTTACAAAGCGTGCTACTCAATATCGATGAAATTATCAAATTTTACGTATTTTTTCCAAAACAGGACAAAAGTATCATGGAAAATACAGGTCAATACATTATTTACAAACAGAAAATGCACATAAAAACAAGAAATAAACGTAAAAAATCTAAGACCACGATAGGAGTACTACATGTCGGCCACGAGTTTCAAGTGTGCAATCGGGTGTAACGAAAGCGAGCGGTTTATATACCCGTCTGACAGTGCCTATTTATGAGAAGTGTTCAGCTTTAATATTTCATCTAACATTAAAGTATATACTTTATGTAAAATCTCTACAACTTGCACAAATCTCATGAATGTTGAAGTTATTTGCCTATGAAATACTATACACACACGAAAGATGACAATACGAGTCATTTTTTCACACTATAACACTATTTTTCGATATGAGTGGGTCTTCTCTCCATTTTTTTGAGATTTAGTCCTCCGA